TGCTCTTCATTCTTTAGCACGATCGGTTTACAGTTTAATTTACTATATTTCGCATATACAAAAATTTCATTCCGAAGCTCAAGCTTTGCATATATCAATCAAGAGACATCAAGAGACGAGTGTACACTTGCATTTGGACGACAAAATAAAGATAATTGAATAAATCACATTTGCTTTTATTATTTTGCAATATTTTCATATATGGTAAATAAATAGAAAAAAAAAAACAAAAAATTTACTAATAGTACCCTGTGTACGTTGTTTGGAAGAAAGCTCTGTTTAATTTCTTATTCTAATGAAATTAATTCAATATATTTATTTAATAAATACTTTTAAGTAATTATTACAGCTAAGATGTATGTATGTGTAGGTTCGTTTTGCAGTAGTGATGCTCCATTAACTCTCTCATTTATTTAATTCAGTGTTTAAATGAAATGAATATATATATATATATGTATATATGTATATATCAGAAAACATGTTTTATTATTATACTAAATCTATGTTCAGTCCAAAAAAAAAAAAAAAAAACAGATCCCTATGACGCAAACTGCAAATGTTTTCAATTACCTCAGTAAAGAAAATTTATTCAATTTTTCCTTTTATCATACGTCATTCATTAATTATTTTACTTCATATGATTAGATATGAAATTACAATATTTTTAGTATTTATTAATGTTTTTCGTATTAATTGTGAAAATAATTAGAAGAAAACAAGAAAAAAAAACAACAAAAAAGGAAATGATGAACCATCAGTAAATATGTAAAAATTATTAAAAAGTATATAAAAAAAATAAAACAATAAAAACATATTTTATTGTGTATTTTTTCATTATATGAACATTTATATTCGCCAAAAGCCCTCCATTAACCCATGCGACAATATATGCAAGCATCGGAGTTCATAACTTTTATTATTACAAAATTGTATTTTTGCGTTTATTTGCATAAATTAATTAATTCAAAATCAGTCGCTGAATGACAATTTAACTACCTGTATACGTTTGAATAATCATCTTCACCATTGACTTCTATTTCTTCCTCAAACATGATCAGTTCTAATAGGAAAAGCGCTATATATATATATTAGTTTGGGGAAAAAGAAATCCATTATTTTTATATGAACTTCACGACTTTATTTAACATGCTTCGGATTGTCCGATTTGGGTCAAATATGCACCGTTTTGTTGTATGATTTGTTGCCATTTTAAAGGTAACTTCAAAATGCCTCTCTCATAGAAGTCCTGGTCTCTATTTGCAAAAAACTCAAGTAGTCGATTTTCACAATCCTCCCTAGATTCCAATTTTTTATCATTAAAGAAATTTTGCAATGCAAGAAAAAGACGATAATCGCTTGGTGTCAAGTCCGGACTGTATGGCGGATGCATTAAAACTTCCCAACCAAGCTCCCGAAGTTTCTGGCGAGTCACTGTAGATGTATGTGGCCTAGCGTTGTTCTGGTGGAACACGACACCTCTCCTGTTGGCCAATTCTGGCCGTTTCTGGTCAATCGCTATCTTCAAACGGTCCAGTTGTTGACAGTAGAGATCAGAATTTAGCGTTTGGCCATATGGAAGCAACTCATAATAAATAATCCCCTTCCGGTCCCACCGAATGCATAGCAAAACCTTCCTGGCCGTGTGAGGTGCTTCACCGCTCTTTGACCACGATCGTTTTTGCACAGGGTCATCGTATGTGATCCATTTCTCATCTCCAGTCACCATCCGTTTAAAAAATGGGTCTATCTCATTCCGTTTGGCCAAGGCTTCGCAGATGGAAATTCGATCCATCATGTTGTTTTCTGGTAATTGGTGTGGCACCCAAACATCGAGCTTCTTTTTGAATCCAGCTTTGTGTAAATGGTTTAAAACTGTTTTATCGCCGATTTTTAGCTCCTGGGCGATGTTACGACTGCTAACATGCCGGTCAACTTCGATCATTTCTCCGATTTTATCCACATTTTCGACGACCGGCCTACCTGTGCGATGTGCATCTTTAACATCAAAAATTCCTGAACGGAATCTACGAAACCAAAATTGCACATAATTGGCTGTTACAGTATCGGAACCATAAACACCATTCACAATTTTACCCGGCTGGCTTGCATTTTCGCCTTTGTCAAAGAAAAACTGTAAAATGTACCGAATTTTCTCTTTGTTCCCTTTCCATTTTTAACACGCTGTAACTCACAACTGAATGCACCAAACAAAAAGGAGCAAAAGAATTTTTTTTACTGCGAAATGTACAGTATCGGAAATTGTTTGATCGATACTTTACGAGAAATCTATCAGTGCAGCCATCTACCGTAAAAATAATGGATTTCTTTTTGCCCAAACTAATATATATTTTTTTATTTTTTTTCTTTTATCATTATGATCGTGTTGAACTTCCAATTTCATTGATGATATGAACTTTTTGCAAATTTCTGCTTTCGGAATGTCGTGCCTTGCGTCTTTATATCCGAAGGATTCATTTTGTCAAAACGCGTGCAACGTCTACAAGAAAACTTCGAAGACCCGGCAGAGTGTACATATTCTTGATCAGCATCAAATTCTGAATCGATTTAAGCATGTCCAATCTATCCGTTTGGCTGTCTGTCCCCGTCTGTAATATGTCTGCTGTAAACATTCTCCTGTCTCCTGGCTCCTGGCTCCTGGCTCCTGGTTATTAAGCTAACGCCCTCAAATTGGCCACAAATATTGAAAATTCTTCTACGAATATTAGCAATTAAAGGCATCGAAGTACACGCCTACACAAAAGGAATAGAAAATTGGTTTTTCTCTCATTACGCACAACCATAACAGATAAATCTACAGAAATGTGAACGTATGGACGATCCTGTACCATCTGCATAAAAATTTTCAAAAATTGACCACGCCTACCCAATTGTTTTACTGTATCAAAATTTAATTTTTTTCAATACCTTTACAAGGCGCAACGTCATGCTTCATAAACCTTATAAAATATACAAATTCTTGGCCAGTTTCAAATTTGACATGCACCTAAACTTGTACCTGTACGTCGTTTAGGTCGTCTACCCAAATCTGTACTGTCATGAGCATGAAAATTTAGTTAGTTCTTTTACCTTTTTTCGACTTTTTTAGGATAACGGTGATGGGTGTAAAAGATTCGTTCACCAACGAATATAATCGTCTTACTTGTTTCCTTCCTAATGATATGATATGGATAGCATGATCTACATCTCAATACCTACCATTTAATTTAATGAAGCGTTTGAGAGCTACCACAAAAGAAACTTCTCCGTCCTTATATCATCTCAATATGAGCAAAACTAATGTCTTATGAAAAAATTCAAACCGACTCCGCGAAGAGAATTCTGTGATTGCACGAGAAGATGTAAGTGAAGTTATCATTTTATCGACGAAACCCCCTATTGGAGACTTGAAATCTAAGAACCACCAGACTCAACGTAGTTTTAGTTCAACGTCTCTAAGCTGCATCGAGTTATAGAAACTATTTGCGTGACAATGGGGCCCGTGGTTCGATTTATTGCGCAGAATTGTCTTCAGTAAGCAACTCGAAGCCTACGCCCTGCTCATAAATTTAACATTTCGGCCATAATTCTACGGGCCTCTGTTTTCGAGAAAAAGAGATACGAAATGGAAAACGAAATCCTTTCTTTTTCCTAGTCTTCGAAGTTAAGTGGTAGAGTTTCTTTATTAAGCCGATATAGAAATAGATACAAGTTTCTTTCCCCCTTTTTGATCTGGCATGCTCAAGAGGTGTAATAGAAAGTTGTCATAGAAAGTTTTTAGATGAATAATTAAGTAGTGAGACAGTATTCAGTCAGAGATGCATTGACGAAAAATTCTTTTTCGAATTTCGTACAAGTTTGAGTCGAATGCATATAACTAATCTACATGTCTTTAGCTAGAGAAGTATTGAAATTTTTTTTAGATATATTGATCTTTATACGCCAAAGTGAGTTGAGTTATTTGACTGAAAGAGTTCTCTTATCAAAAATGTCCATATTTAGAATGTTCTTTCGTATATTATTCAAACATATTTCTCTCCTTTATTTTTTTTTTTTACCGCCTACGACAATTTACCTATTGCGAGGCAATGAGATAAACGAAAGGAAAATGTATGGCTCCAATAGTCGCATACATAACTAACTTAATTTCTTGACAGAGCCTGTCGAGTCGCTCTCAGTCGCCTTAATGTTGATACATATTTTTGAACATATCTTTAGTTGGAAATACGTTCAAAGGCATGCATTCGAGCGGTATAGTACTTAGACGCGAGCAGACAAGATATTGCACTATAACTTCCTAGTAGGGATTCATTTAGCGCTGACAGCCTGTGCTCGGCGGGGCGCTTGAAGAAAAATATTTTTTTGCAGGTAAAGCATTTTTCTTCCATACTATCTATTAAGCCAATAAAAAATATTTCTAAAAAATTTACATTGTTATGTCCTCTTGAATGATTTCTGCTTACCCGTTTTTTCTTTTTTTTTTTTTGTTTTTCTCTCTTTTGCATTTTTTACTCTTTAACGTAAATAAAACTTGTACGAAATCGTTACCATATTACAGTTTCCTATTTTATTAATATGTAATTAGTTTAGTAATTCGTGAAATATTTATACAAGTAATCTTGTTCTTGTTACATATGCGTAGGGAATTAATTTCATTATTATTTGAATAGATAATTAATTAATTAATATAACTTAAAAGCTAATTTGTTGTTGCGAATGTTTTCTTTTGTTATTTTGTTCTTAATGATTACACGAAATAATCCAACGCTACTAGAATAATCCTTTTTATATATATATCAAAAAAAAAAAAACAAAAAAAAAAAAGGAAAAGGAAAAGAACTCCATACCTAAAAAGTTAAAATGTAATTTATAGCGTATATCAAAATATCGAAAAAGAAATGAAACGAGCTTAAAGTGTCAAAGGTATTCAAAAAAATTAAGGGATATATGTAACCGTACAAATAATAATTTAAAGACAAGATACGAAATACATTTCCAAAATTTAAATATAATAATAATAATAATAATAATAATAATAATATAATAAAGAAAAAAGAAGTGAAAAGAATAAAGAAAACTCTCATCTATATGTCAAATAGCTGGACATAAACTTATTACGGTTTACTTTTTTTTTATATAATTTTATGTCGTTGATAAAGTGACCACATCGCTGCTACTGCTGCGACTTTTGCTAGAGGATGAGGATTTCGCTTTGATTTCGGTTAAAGTAACTGAACCGGGACCGTTGAGGAAATGCATTTTCACATGCTTTTGCAGGTCTTGTTGTGAATCGAAAAATACTTGACAAAGATCGCAGGGATAACGGGATTTAACCATTGCGTTATCCATGGGCGCTCTTTTACGATTTTCTTGCAACGAATCTTCGTCATCATCATCATCAAATTCGTCAGAATCGACTTCTTCGTCCTCAGCTTCTATGATAGCTAAATTGCTTCGATTGTTCAGGTGTTGACTTCCCCGACTCGCAATTTCATTTGTATCTTCATTTGTGTCGGGATCCTCTTCAATATCATCTTCATCTTCATCTTCAGCGTCATCACCATCACCATCACCATTGCCATCTACATCACCATCACCATCACCATCACCATCACCATCACCATCACCATCGCCATCACCATCACCATCACCATCAGCATCGCCATCACCATCACCGTCACCATCGCCTTCTTCATCTAAATCGTCGTCCTCATCACCTACAGTCTGCTGAGCTCCTACAGCCATTTCATCAAGTTCCTCTTCGTCAGCGGCAGAGTCCTCATCATATTCATCGACAGCCACTCTTCTTTCGACTTCATCTTCATCGACCTCATCTTCCACCTCGTCAACGTCATCGTAATGATCTTTAGCACTGTCGCAAGATTCTTCAAGATTATTGGTTTGCTGTTCGGTGACAACAGGTACTTCAGTATTATCTAGTGGCTCTTGTTTGATTTTAACTTTAAGCAATTCTTCCGCTTGATCATTTTTGGAATTTTTCTGCTGTTCTAATTGCTTTGGCGATTGCGTCTGTTGGATCGAGCCTTTCTGTGCCGATTGTGATTGTTCGATCGGTATAATAAATGCTTCTTTCATATGATTATGTATATGATTAATTAATTTCTCTTTGCGTGACACATAGGTGCCACACAAATCACAGCCCCATTGAAACGGTCCGAAAGGCTTCATTACACGCGCATCGGCCACTTTATGTTCAATCCAATCCGCTTTACTTTCAAATTTTAAATTACATCGACGACAATTGTTAGGTGCATCCAATTCAATTTTTGGCGGCACCGGTAGATTACCGATCTCATTCTTGTGTAATTCATATAAATGACGACGTAAATTATTATTGCTGATAAAAGTGGAAGGACAATATTCGCATTTGAGTTCACGTTTACGTTTCTGGGATTTTGAAAGGGGGACGGATTGTCGGGGCATAAGACCCACCGCTTGTAATCCCAGTAGACGTTGATGGTTGATCGGGATTGAATGGTGCGATTGATCCTGGTGCTGCTGTTGCTGATTGGTACTGCTGAATGTACCCAGATTCGATGTACGCTGATCTACTTCGTTCTATTTTATAAAAAAAATAAATAAATAAATAAAATAATAATGAAAAGCATAAAAAAAGAAAAAGAAATAAGAAAAAAAAAATAAATAAATAAATAAGAACAAAAGAGAAGAGATGTATGTTATGAAAACAAACTTCTTTAGGGGAAAAATTTCATTAAATTTATTATTTTGTGACTGGTGTGGAGGCAAACAACACAAGTTCATAAATTTGTTGAAAAATGTCCTTTAAATTTGGAAGGCAAAACCATAGAATTTTGAGACTTTTATCGTTAAACTTAAATCATGAGATTTTCTTGTAAGCAAATTTTATTAATTGAAATAAAATCATATCTATGAATGATGATATTCTATCTGAAATTGAAATTCGAACTGAAATTTGCTCAAATTTTCGTTCGAATTTTGGCATTGGCTAATTGTTATGTAAACAAATGTTGAGAGCATGTATGGAAAAAAGTGGAGATTTTTTTTTATTACAAAATGAGCAAAACTCCCCAAAAGATATGCATTTCTTTATTGCAATTGTGTAACAAATTAACGAATAAATCCGTTTGATAGTCTACTCGCATCGCTTTTCATTTTTGCACTTTCTTGATAAGGAATTATGCATAGACGTATTAAAGAGGGAGGGTATCAAGTATTTGGCTATCGAGCGAGTCCAAATTTTCATTATTTTCATTAAGATAAGAAAACGTTAAAGAGTTATTTCGTTGATCAACGGTCTCAATATTAATCTACGTACGTACAATATATTTATTTTTCACAGGATTAGTATAAAAAAAAAAAATAAAATATATTATACTTTCTTATAGAATACTTTCGTTTAGAGGCTATTCAAGAATCTAATCAATTTCAAAAATTGTTGCTTACAAAATTATACTCATGAGTTTTTAACCGTGCCCGTTTTTATGTAGTCACTCAAAGTCATTATATAAACAGAATTTTGTTTTTTGCCAAAACCATTTAATAATGTTGGACATCGAAATTGTTTATTTATCAAACGCCATAAAGCCTCGCTGCACAAGTCCACAAGCTCACCTGTTTGCTATCACCTCTGAAATGCCATTTCCGATGCACTTTAAGTGCAGTCATTTGCGTAAATATCTTCGAACACAAATCGCAAGCATACTCGCCATTCTCATTCATTCGATCCATATAAAATTGATTAGGATCAGCAGGCCCTGTGTCAAACATTGACGCCAATGGATTATCTGTATACAATTCCATTTCATGCATTTGAATATGTTTGCTGAATAAATCCTGATCGGTGAAACGCGCCCCGCAAATTGTACAAGCCACTTCCGGTAGCTTAATTTTTAGACCAGACCCTTGAAGACTAGCGCTGGTCGTAGTTGTCGTATTGGCAGCAACAGAGGTAGTATTAGCATTTTTCTCAGCATCATCATCATCGCGAGACGCTTCGTCTTCATCGTCATCATCGTCCCCGGTTTTATGTTTATAAATCGGTTGAGTCGATTCAGAATTGGCCGTGCCACCCGATTTAGCCGATCTTCGATTACAAGTCGGCGTATGATTTTCCAACATTTGAGTATCGAAAAATACTTTCTTACATAAATGGCATTCGGATGGCTCCGCGATTTGGGGATGCTTCTTGTAACGATGAACCTAAATGCGTAAATTAAGAAAGAAAGCAACCAAAAAATATAAACAAAATTCTTTACATATTTTAACCTTGTCATACCCATAAACTCTTACGACCACTATAAACATTGCCACAGTCCTTGCACGAATAATCATTCGAATCAAATTCATCGTGTGAATTTATATGAATTGCCAACTTTTTATTGGTGTTGAAGTTTGAGGGACAATATTTGCATTGATACCAATATAAAGGCACGTTACTAGTAGCGCTATTACCGCCAGCTCCCGATGTATTACCAATGCCACTAATTGGTGTCGATATACCGGACGCATCCGCTCCAGCTGAACTATTGTCGGCAGCACCCATCAAAGAGTCTTCGCCATAATCGTCATCATCGTTGTCTTGAGCTTCTCCTTGTTTGCCATGCACATTGGCCAAATGATGTTGTAACTCCACGTCGGTGCGATACACAATTGAGCATATCTCGCATTCATATTGCTTGATAATCATTTCATCCTTGAGCAATGTGTTATGTACTTTGAACATATGCACCTTAAGACCCTTCTCGTAGGCAAATTCAGCATCACACAACTGACACTTAATAAATTGGACATTTCGTATTTGATGATCATTAAGCATATGATACCGGTAAGATTTTTTAGTTGAAAAGCGCCGTTGACAGATGCGACAACGCATACGACGGAAACGGCGATCGGCTGCCTGCTCAAGTGTTCTTTTTAAGATGGTCTGTTGTACTGGCGGCGTAGAAAATGATGAACTTCCCGCCATGGCCGCCTTAGCAGCCATGGGATTTTGCAATTGATGCGAGCGCATATGATTCGATAGACCGATATTGTTATTAAAAACGGCCTTACAAATTGGGCACTCCTTCTGTCCATTCAAAACGGGCGTAATACTGACACTATTATTATTATTTGAAAGTTGCGCTGTTGCATTATTATCTAAACGCAACTTTTTAGCAGCATTCTCTCGACCACCTTCGTCGTCATCAACTGAAAGTGCAAAAAAAAGTTGAAAATAAAATATTTCCGCTGTGTCACCATTCGGCTTACCAGTTGTCCCACCATTTGTTATAGACATCAAATCCTTCATCACATAATCGTAGCGACCGCTATAAACGTTCTGATTATTGGTATGACCAGTAGGTTTGACAGTCTCCGCATTAACTATATACTCAAAACCGGTGTGACGCGTCTTATCAGCATCATGAACGTTAACCATATGATCGCGTAAATTAGATAGACGGGGATAGCCCACTCCACATTTTACACATTTGTAAGTTTGAGGCAATTGATCAGGATGTTTCGATTCCATATGACGTAATACATTGTTATAATTGTTGTACTGTTGGCCACAAATAGGACAAGCCTGGGGCATACGCGAGAAACATTGACTTTTGGCCGGCGGTGCTGGCGTCACGGTAGCTGAAAGATTCTTAAAACTACTGCTGCGCGAGTCATCAGCTGAAGATGCACCTACATCGAAAACATATATTTAATTAACAATTGCAAAAAAAAAAAAAATTCGGTTTTTTTTTTTTCATTTTTTACATACCCATGCTTGACTTTTTCCCCGGTGAGTTATCAGCATTTGTCATAAATTGAGGTTGATCGCGGAAAGCGGCCAAGTGCTTCTCTTGGACATGCTCCATAAATTTGTGTTGATTTTCATGTTTCGTATCGCAGGTGACGCAACGCAATATTACTATGCATTCCATGTTATTATAATGACGCTTGCGTTCGGCTGGATCTTCGATATCGATTGCGCAAAAACTGCACTGTGTTGTGCCAATGTCTTTACGTTGCGCAGCCGCATGTTCATCATAAACATGCGAACGAAATTCCAATTTCAAACGGAACGTTTTAGGGCACAACTTGCATTCATACATCTTGTTAACCAATAATTCTTTGGCTCTCATCTTTTCGGGTGTGGCGGCGACAGTGGCCGTCACGGCAGCTGCAAAATTAGCATTTTTCGCCATTAAATTTTGCAATATTTTATAAAGATTTATGCAGTTGCGTCGTTTTAAGTGTGAGATGAATAAAGCTTTCGAATCGTTCAGTTTCAAGCAATTGAAACAAAGATTACGTGGTAAAGTTAAATACTTTTTACGCATATGCGCCATAAATTTTTTATAAGTGCTGTAGTATTTATTGCAACAACGGCAAGTCATCGTTTGATATTGTAATAAAAATTCTTCATTTTGCTGAAGAAAGACAATTTTTTCATCGGTCAATAGCTGTTGATACTTTTCCGGGCAATCATAATCCCATCCCCCCATTTCGCTGTTATTAAAGGCATTTACCACTTCTTGGCGGTATTTCTGATTCGATATTAAGCCGCTGGTGTTCAATTTGCAAGCGTCAGCCGCAACAGCCGCGGCTACGGCACGTTGCAATTCCAACGAGGCATTTAAAGCGGCCGTTTGTTTATTTAAAGAACTATTGCTATTACCTGTAGATAGGCTATCAAATAGAGTCGGATGTAAATTGCGCTCATGTCGTCGAGCATTGGCCCGAGTGGAAAATTTCAAATTACATGCCCTACACGAAGCTTCTTTTGTATCCATTTTAATTAAGTTAGTAGTTGGTAGCGGTTTTAACTCAGTTAATAAGCGTTGAGCTTCGTAGTCACCATAATGTGAAGAATCCTTCAAAAGTGAGAAACTCGATTATAATAAATTATTGTTATATGCAAAATTGTTGAATTCACCATTAACGGTTCGTCGCCTTCATCGGCGGTACGCTCTAAAAACATTGTCGGATCTACTATTTCATCGGATTCATCATGTTGTTTTGTACTGTTATAATCGTCATCCGCATCAATTGGTTCATCTTTGATTTGAACTGCCGGTACGGGCTAAAAAACAAAAATGCAAATTTGGCAGAAAGAAGCAAAAACAATTTAAAAATGATGAAATTAATAGAATGAAAGCAAAATTTGCAAAATTTTAAACTTAAAATATTTTTCTCTTATTATTATTGTTATTATTATTATAATTATTATTATAATTATTATTATTATTATTATTATCATTGTGTACACCCTTCTTATCAATTTTGAGCAGGAATCTGCTCAAGAAATATATAAAAAAATTTTTAAATAAATTCTATAACGTTTAACGTTTCAGAAGCCTTGACTGTAAGAGACAAAAACATCTTGTGTTTTCCTAAAACATTCTCCAGGGGTAAAAATGCCCTGATATATATTACTTTAAAAACAAAAAAAAACAAAAAAAAACTAATAAATAAATAAATAAATCGCGAACAACATGTAACCGAAAGTATCAGTTTTCAGTCTTTACCAGATATTTTCAATAGCATATGCAAGAAACATTCGGAGCAATATGATATAAAAAATCAAAATACAAAATGTCTCAAAGTACATAAGTAAAACAGCTTTGAAGCTTTTATCGTTCAAAGATCTAGACTTTGAAGTTTGAAGAGCTAGATATTGTTTATGGGGAGACGGAGGAGGCACGAAGCTAATTGAAATTCATGTCCCTTTTTGATTTTTCTCTCAAATACAAGTTAATGTTATAACTCAAAAATTAATTATTATTGTTCTACATATATATATAAAACATAGGAATGTATGTGTTAATACAGTAACGGTATGCTCATAATTGTCTTGACATACGATACATTTACATTATAGGAGTATCGTCTGAATAAACGCAATTGCTGAACAGCATTTTGACAACTCGTAGCAGAAGCTACAACCGTAGCAACATTTGTTGGTGCTGTAGCCTCGTTACCAGGCACTAAAGCCAGAGCAGCAGAAGTTATGGTAGCAGTAGGTGCTGCCGCAACTACGGGAGATGTAAATATTTGCATAGGCGTTGTTTGTTGTATTGGAATAAGTAGTTCTTTATGGCTACTTTTGTGCTTGACTTTACTAGAGTGCAGCAGCACATTAGAGGATTGTGTTTGCTGTTGACTACTTTGTCGTGGTTTATATTTATAGGGACGTTTAGTAGAAGTAGTAGTAGTAGTAGTAGTAGTAATAATGGAAGTAGTGGTAGTAGTAGTGGTAGTAGTAGTAGTAATTATCGTTGTGGGTGCTGGTGCTGGACTTTGCGTTTGTTTGGGACTCACATAGACTGTTAACGATTTTCGTTTTTTTAATGATGTTATGCCCTCCAATATTGAGGGTGCCAAGCCCGATACAGAGGCCATGTCATCCTGAGCCTGCTGGTCATCATGGTGTGTATCTCCTTGGTCTTGCTGATATGCGGATTTTTTCGTATTATTATGCCCGCTCTCCAACCATGAACGCTGCTTGTTTTGTGAGGCTAAACAACGATTCTTGAACGACTGCCAAGAATTCAGATAACTTATGCAAGCATGACAAATGCTTAACGATAAACGATCATTGGGCGATATCTGCAAAAAAAAAAAAAAAACAGAAAAAACAATAATAAATAAATAAATGAAAAAATATAAGGAAAACACTATTTACTTTAAATTAAATGATTAAATATTAAATTTCTTACTTTTAGAGACTATCTATGTAAACTTGAGCTGCGGGAATTTCAAAGTGTTGACAGTAATTTTCAATGCTTTTAAACAGGAATAGAACAACGTAACAGAAACTTGTCTATATAACTTTTATCGTCAACAAAGTTATTGCACATACTTATATACTTATATCTGTTTAAATGTCTTTATATATATATATATATATATATATATACTTATATCTGTTTAAATGTCTTTACCTGCACTCCCGCCTTAACTCTTACCATACTTCAAGCATAACAACAAGGAACAGTTATTGATGCAGTTACTGATGTTTAATGGAATAGTTGCTACTAAAAGCAGCTCATACAATATTTACAAATGTCAATGACCCTAGAGACAATAACAACAATAGCAACAACAATAACCGAAGCCGAAAACATATTACAAACACAAAAGCAAATGCAAAAACATTATACATATATGTATGTACGCATCTCGTATAAGCGTATTGTACACCTATACCTCCTCAAAGCTAAGCTATTGAATATTTGCGTTGTACAACATGTCCTTCCTCTCTCTTAGTGATAGTTGGATACACAAGTGCGGAATTAATTTAAACGCACACATAGGGCATATATGCGAAAATGCAGTTACACAAATGCAGAGTATGAAGAATATAACTATAGGAGCGTATATCTGATACACCATACCACATCAAGCAATTTATATCCTAATACATGCGTACATGCCTGCATATGCATGCCTTTCAGTTTATTCCTTACTATCATTTAATGGGCACATCAATCAAGTCTCATTAAATAACATTAAATACTTTTGGTTTTGTTTGCCAAGCGAATTAGTGCAAAGAAAAAAATTAATAAAACGAACGCTTCAAAATAGGCAATATACTTTCATCAATCAATATTCACTAAGCCTAAAATGTAGACAATATTTATAACTTGTACTAATTATTATTCAATTTTACGAGTTTCAATTTAATTTTTCAATCAATTGAATTTTAAAAGAATAAAAATAAAACTACTTACAATCAAACAATCTATAAGAAAAGAAAAAGATGTTAGAATTTTCAAATGGATTAAAATATGTTCATTATGTTCAATTGGAATGGATCTTGCGAATATTATGCTTTTACATAAAACTTGAGAATTCGCTTAACGGTCGACAAAACAATGGAAGACAATAAATAACGGACGCCATTATTGACACAAAAATATTTGAGGAAGAAAACTATTAACAAGCTGGTTAACTCGATCATCGGGTTTATAGGAGATTTTTAGAAAAGAAAAAAAAAAACTAGAAAGTATCATATGAAAATCCAGACTATTGATATTATTCTTATTTCACATCTTTCAAGTTTGATTATCATTTTTTTTAATCTTAAAAATAAATAACTTTTTACGACTCTATTCTTAAAAGCGATTACAAAAAAAGAGTGCAAAACAAAGTTTCCTGCACAAGTTACTGAACTGAGATCTTGTCTTAGCCTTAGTAGTTTTTAATAAATTTTTTTAATAAATTTAAAATACGATTAATGGGTTTTTCTTTTCTTTTCATTTTGTTTACTCTGCGAGTAAAGCCCTAAACCCCTGCTGTGCTGGATTTGGTAACTGGCATTACGATCTACTACCTTTTTTGTTTTTTTTTTTTTTTTCCAAATATGAGAAAGCAATCTGTTATGATTTGGCAGAAAAATTGCTTAAGATATTTAAATAACTCAATTTTCCGAAGATTTATATAGCTCGGGATGTCAGGAGCTAAATACATAACCAATTATGTACAATAATTACACACACAACATACATACTAACTACTTAAATTGTACATTAACTCAAACCTTTAATAAGCTTTCCCTTGAAGTCAAATATATTGCATATTGTGAGTATGTATGCGCGTTTATATTATGTGTGCATTATATATATATATATAGATATGCACTTACATCTATGCATATAAACTTGCATGTGGCAAAAGCTTATATAAAGAAAATTGATGGTTAACAAGAATTTGGTGCATTCAACCTAACTCTTACTCTTCTATTCTATTCTCATCGTTATTTAAATACATATATATGTATATGCATATATGTTCAATAAAGTTCGAAAACTCGAATAAGCGTATGTTCATGCGATGTACATTATAGATTTGAAATATATAGGATATATTTGAGAAAAGTGTGAGAGAAGTTAAAGAATTCCCTCGCTTACGCTTTGCTGAAGGATTTCTATTGAAATCACAATTTTCATGCCGTTATTTAATCTTTTGTTTACTAATAAGATATTTGTTGCTATAATTTGCAAAAATAATAAATATTTGGGATTACTGCTGCGTTCGCTTTTCCCTTTCGATATGCTGTGCCATACGTACACATTAATATATTTGATGTAAATATTTGAAATTGTAGCATTTTTCACGAAAAGTTTATTCGATACCCGTCACTAAGCCACATAGTGCTATGCACGATTTGATACGCACCAATTTACATATTAGAAATTATATAAATAAATATTTGTATATGATATCTTAAGCGGCCTGAAATATTAGGTAATTTCATCCAAAAGCGTCATTCCATCCTCCAATGCATTTTGACTGGTGAAATCAGCAGGAATTGTTCGCTTGCAGTAACTAAGAACTGCAAAAAAAAAAAAAAAAAAAGACTAAAATATGTTTAAAGTAAATATCAATATGCGATTTCATTCATTCATCGAAGCATTCCTATGCACATCTTTCCTGCTGTGTGTACTTTTAAAGGGACCCAAGTATTATAAGATATGGTTTGGTTAGGTAATTCCTTAAAATATTGTTTTATTTATGTGAAATTTTGTAGTCAAATAAAATGATGACTTGACTGGATGGAATGGATGCCGCAATTCATCGAATTCAAATAAAAAATATTCCATATAAGTAATAAAAATAATAATAATAATAATAAGCGAATTTTTAATATCGATTCCGTTCATTTCATTACCATTCGTTATCCTTAATATTCACAAGCTACGCGATGAAATGAGTTGAATAGTTTATCGCCCAAAGCCAAAGCTTAAGCGCTTAAAGAGAATTTTGGATTGCATCATTTTGGTGTAAGAGAAGTTTTATAAAGTGCTTATGTTCAAGCCATTAAAACACTAATGCGAGAGTGCTATTGAAACTTTAGTTTCACCGGTTTTTGCCCATGTGGACGCTATATAAATCCCGTAAAGTTTACAAAAAAATTATTCTAATCAAAGTTATATTCCAATTCAAGTTGATCTGATTGTTTTAAAAATTATCGTAACCGTGATCAGAACATATTTTTTAATAGCCGATGGAAAACGTTTAAAAAAATATTTATTTATTTGACAAAGGACCTAAAATGTAAGAAAAACTCGAGTTTGATAAAGCAAAAAAAAAAAAAAAAAATTAAAAAAATTGTACCTCTTAGACTAAGAACTGTGATTATTCAATCCAATACATTTTTAAGAACTTAATATTTGTCTAAATAGTTGCGCAGATGTTGAAAAAAGAATGGAATGGGAAGAAAAGGGGAAATTACAAGAAACTATTTGAAATTTATGGAATGCGCCAGAAAAGTAATAACTACCATTTGGGCCAATATCATTAAAGATTTCTCAAAACAGTCGGTTTAGTAACACACATTCACATTCATATTTACTGAACAATTTAAAAGAAGCTACATTTTGGTTGGGCAGATAGAGAATTAAAGCGAAGCAGCTAAAAAGAAGCGAAAACCAGGTAGCCAGCCAATGCTTTCGTTAATATCTAAAGCCAAATGTAAAAGGAAATCCTCAATGTGTACATTTGACGAGAATGCAAAAATGAAATATATGTATACTCCTCTCCTTTCCAACTAAGAGAATTTAAAAAAAATAAAAAAATAAAAAAAAACAGCCCTCAAATGAAAAGCAAAAGAAAACGCATATGAAAGCGTTAACGTTTGCAAGATGGAAAAATGAATGGATCGCAGTCTAAACCACCCTATAAATGCACAATTGTACACTTTAGTGATATATAATTTTAAATTATTTTATATATTTCTTTCTAAATTATACCGCCTGAGATATCATGCCTGATGATATTCCTTTGAGCTTGCAATCTTTGCTTTTAATATTGTAACAGTTAGAGAGACACGTATGCAGCAAACATGCAATACATTTTCGTATAACTAATAAGGCCCTGGAGTATAACACACTGTTCATATATATATGATCGATTCCCCTAGGCAACCCTAATATGTAATATTATCGAAAATAACACGAAATAATAATAAAAATCTAAAAAAGTATACTACAGAAATCCTATGGAAACCGTACATAGAAAAGAAGCCTCAAAAAGGGAAAAACCAAGGCTGAAGTACGACTTAAAACAAATAAATAAGCAAAGTAGCTGAAATAAACATAAAAAACAAACGCATGCAATTACCTAACCAGCCAGTTGTTGACCAAAGTGCATAAAGTAAGTAAACGATGGAAGGACGGATACGTACGCACAAAACGCAATCTGACAATTGAAACAAAGGCATGAATTCCTCATATACATAGTTGCAGCTGCTGCTGCCCGCCTGACTTACTTACAAATTATCTGGTTCTCGACGAGCACATCTACAAAATGGTGGATGAAGTTGAATGTATGAGAAATATTAAAACTGAAAGCTGAAAAAATAAGAAGAAGACATAAAAGTAAACAATGAAGAGCCTATAGTGGCTGTAACGCACTAACACCACCATCTCGAATATTATAACGACCGACCATAAATAACATTTTATTAACAAAATATGAGACGACTCGTTAAACGGCTGCTACAGAGCTTATTTAGGTTAAGTAAAAAATTAAAACCTAAAAAATGCTTGGCTGGCTGACTGAATGCTAGATAGTGTGACCGCTTTTTACCCATCCCATAATGACGACTACGTTAGTAGCTAACTGTAGTACAAAAGCATCTACAAAAGAACAGCAACAACAACGTTAAAGGCACACATACTTATGGCTGATGATAACACACAACAGACAACACACGGAACGGCAGAGCACTGTTAAAAGCAAATAGCTGACGTTAGGTAAGACTAGCAATACCAAAAGCACCACTACCAACGTGACTGTGATGATGACGACGACAATACCAAAGACTCATATCATAAAGTCGTCTAATTTAGCCAGTAATCAACCTGTCTAGTAAGTAATCAGCAGTTGAAATTTCCCAACACACAAATGAATTCGTTAAAGGAACGAAGTGGAATCGATTCTTTTCCAAAACCTTTACTTATTACAACGCATATTAATTTTCACAATTACCCGGAGTTGATGGAATACCTATAACCAAAAAGCCATTTTATCATTTCGTCATAATACCCTTGGACTCAAAACTTGCACAATCAGTGCAATCGATGTGACAGCAACAAACCACGAGCAACCACGACAAGCACTCTTAGCCAGCCACTGCCACGAACAAATAATAACGACGCGACTACTACCACCACCATCACTGTACTACAATCGTCATCATCATTATAATCACCATCATGAATGCGGATCAAAAGCAAAAATAAAAATAAAAAAAAGAGAACAAAAATGCCAAGCAAGCGAGGGCAAAAATGCCATTCAAATTGCTTGCGATGACTGCATGCCAGAAAATCTAACCTCACTTTATTCGGCATGCTCTGGCAAGCATGGAATCAGCATGTATAACAAATTGGTTTCTCCCATTCCAATACACGGGTGTGGCCCGCATCATTACATTCTATGTCCTCACTGTATTTTTGTGGTGCCCAATCCAAACTTACCTTGACGCTTACACAACTGTATATTTTAGTGGCCAAAGGTTCCTTATCCGCAGCGTAACTATTTAATATGGATATGCATTCGTTATCCGGTGCCAGACAGAGGCGACAACAGTTCTGTCGCTGTTGTTGCTGCTGCTGTTCATCCGACATTTTGGTTTTTTCACTTCACAAGCCTCTCGTGCTGTCGGTGGTGGTTTCTATGTAATAGTTATGGTATCTGTGTCGCCTCTGCTCTGCTTTATGTGTCGTCTATATCTGGATACACACTCAACTTATATACTCAATGCTTCCTCTATTGCTTTATATATATTTTTTCCCAATTAAAAATTAAACTATTTAACAAAGATACTATAATTTAGTTTGTTTGTTTATGTTTTCACTTTTATTTCAAAATTTTTGTTTTTATTTTTAATTTTTGGATTTCACCTACTTTTTTGCATTTTTTGTCACAAATTTGTATATAAATTTTCTTCACCGTTTCACATTTTTTCACTTCTCCTTATCTAGCTTATACCACAAATTCAGTGTTGTCGACTGCACACAACGGGATTCCATTAGTAACTGTGTGCCATTTCCTTGCCGGGATTTCATCAAGATCCAAACAGTAATGCCTACTTTAAATTACATTTATGAAAAACGCGTGTCTGAAAATATCACAATATTTTATAATATTTTTATGATTACTAAAAAAATTGAATACTTCATAAAATATAATTGTTTACGGGTGTCGATTGATGCATTAGCTTAAAATCGAATATTGCATTACTTTTCATCAGTAAATTATAAATTTTGGCTGTTATTAAAGTCAAAAATTAGCATTATTCTTGAATTTTTCCGCGGAGTTACGATACATGAAGAAAAATGTACAATATGCATATGAAATTTGCAGTTGCCACACTTTACACTTTTTACAGATGCAGAATTAACACATTCAATTAATCATATGTATTCAATGCATAAGAAAACAGATTGAAGGTTCTCTGGCATGCATGTATAAAGGTTCTTTGCAAATATGAAAAGCAGGAACGATTTAGCGATTTTATGAATTCTTTTGTTGTGATTATGTTGAACATTTCAACAATTTCCTTACACATGAGATCGAACTATTTTATTCCAGCTGTTCCAATTACATTGGAGTATGTTCAAGGATTAAAGGGAACGGTCGTTAATGATTCACATCTAACAAATATCCAAGAACTTGAATTTTTGGTCAATAAGAGTTGTTCTTTTGCGACAAAATTAGTGGTATTTCATTATACGTATTCCACATGCCACTCAAATCTTTAAATGCCTTATTTTTGCAATGATACTATGCATGCAGAGTTAAAAAAAATTACTTTGTGCTAAAATTATACAGTAGAATATTTTGGCTTGCATAACACGTTTTATTCACAATACTCTCCCTTTGTTTAGATGTACGTACTTACTTTGAAAATAAAAAAGCTAACGATTGATGTTAAAATGTCCGTGCAAGCCGCATATATATATTTCTTGTTTAAATCTGATTTTTATGAAATAGCTGTTAGTACTTACTATACATATATGTCTATAATATTATAATCTTCCGGCTCACAATTATTTTGAATAATTAAAAAATTATTTACTATATTAACCCAGAAATATTTATTTTTACATTTACTATACGTATATTTATATATATACTGTAGAATATTTTATTTTTTATGTAATATTAAGAGAATAAATACTTGTTTTTTAAATTCAAAATATGGTATTCGGCAAATCCTATCTAAAAAAATTTTATAGATCACATTTGTTTAGGTAGTTTTTCGCTAATAATTCAAGTAACACGGATCAAGTTAATAAGTATGTAAATTGTTCAGAAAAAGGAAATCTAGCCCTATGAGATAATTATTGTTTTAGTTAAAATCGGTACATTTACGTTGTAACGTTTGAAATGAATACTCAAGTGATAAGAATTTTAACAAGCCCCTTCAGTGGGTTCGAAAATTCTCGCAAATACGGGAGGTATTTCATCGATCATATCGCTGGCCAGCATACCGCGACCAAGTTTATGAAAAGCACTTGCATTACACTCCTTAACTAAATAGCTAGCGGCGAAAGCAGCCAGAAATGCAGGATTAGCTTGTCTCGATTCGAGAGTCCAATAGTAAAACACTGCCAACGTTCCGCATAACAAATCTCCTTGACCACCGCAACGACGACCCGAGCCTCCAGGAGGTAGGCCATATATTTCTGAAGTGTGAGGTATATGTATGCGATCAATGGCACCTTTTTCCAAAACTACTATTCCGCTGCCTAATTTGGATATGCGATCGTAATTCGACTTTTCGCCTGTATTTGGCCTAAATAAACGTTGAAATTCTATGGCGTTTGGGGTAAGTATAATATTGCGTTGACCTTGTATCAAATCCAAACGATCTATAAGTAAGGCCAAGCCGTCAGCATCAATAACTAAAGGCTTTTCTTGTTTGAGGCAGACTTTAATAAGTTCGATAACAGTCTTTTGAGTTTCAGGCTCACGTCCCAGACCAGGACCTATAATCTAAAATTGAACGTAAGTACTAGATGCTTGTTCTAATTTGATATATATATGCATACACAAAAATATATGCATGTTATGAAACCAATACCTACCACTACATGTAATCTCTCTAACCAAGGAGATATTAATTCTACCGCATTAGCCGCATCCAATAAAGGATGAACTATTAATTCAGGGCTATATGATTTTATTACTACTGCGGCTTCGCGTTGACAAAAGACATGGGCCAGATCGGCCCCAGCTTTTAGGGCTGAAATGGCAGCAAAATATGGTGCGCCGGTATACTCTAACGAGCCACCTACCACTCCAATCCGCCCATATTCACCTTTATGCTTGGTATTTGTTAATTTCGGCACTGTTGTTCGAAGAAGTTTCAAGAGTTTCTGCGTCTCTACTGGTATCTCAATGGAGCTGCGATTGTTGGACATTTTTGAATGACTGCTTATAGTGCAATTATCATTTACAGTTGGACTTGGATGACACTTTAATTGCGATAACAAATAAATGTTGACTCTGGGATTTGATCGTATAAAAGTTGAGTGCATATTTTCTTTAAAAATATGTGACACTGTGTTTTTTAAAATTAAATTTTTACATTTTCCGTAAAAATGCCTCGCAATCTTAATATAAAGCCTGCACTAATCCAGCTTACAACGAAAATAAAAACGAACAAAAATAAATCAATGAAACACGGAATAATCAATTTCTTTTATCAAATATTAAAAACGTGCAGCAACTTATAATCGAAATAAAATAAGAGAAACATGTGCTTGGTTGTAAAAGATAGTAGTTATTTGTTCAAAATTAAATACCACTTATGGAATTTACGTGGATACTTGATCGTATTACCATATTTCGCATTTTAATTGTACATTTGTTTTTTAATTGATAATAATCCACAAAAATATAATGAATAACATTATGATAAAAAAATATAATGTAGATAAATATTAAATTAACATCTTATCTTTTGTCTTATATATGTATTACTAGGCTATCGTTGTGAACACAATTTAATACTTTATTTTGCAATGCTGTACGGTAGGTGTTATTGAATTTTAATTAGCTATTCATTTATTACATTTAATTTTTTTTTATTGTGTTATATTAAATAATTTACATGTTATTAAAAGGTGAAATTGGTTTGAAATTTCAATAAGATGTCAGGAGTTAGTACTTAGTCTAAAAGACAACATTGCTCTTGAAATGTAGAATTTATTAAAGAGAATATAATGCATATTTATCTATGCATATATACATAATTATTTGTTTCTTCTCTTTGGCATGTATTTGCTTTTTCTCATTCATTCATTTTTTTTTTTTTGTGGGTACGTATTTATGAAAGGGAAATATACTTTTATATAAAAACGTACATAATAAAATAAATAAATATAAATGCATAATATGAAATATCTTTTTCTTTAATAATGTTGCTAATGTAAGGATATCCGAAAACGTAGACGTAACTAAGCATATTAAGATTGTGCGTTGATTTTTAGCTATGCACTATTTCCATTAAAAATACGAAAGCTAAGAAATTAAATAAGTTATAAAGCTCACAAAGTCTCTCCGAATTTTAGGATATAAGCACAATTTAAGAAATGCAGTTTGCATATTTTTAAATAATGCCAAAAGGGGAAAGAAATTGATAAAAGCATTATTATGACTAAATATAGAGTGAAAGGGTACGTGATAAATTTATCAGCGCAATAACGACAAAAGTCGTACAACTAGTTATTCATACTTAAATATCTCATTAATGTAGTGATAATTAAAGAAAAAATGAAAACATTTACGGCTTTTTAAAAATAGCATTAAATTATAATTACTTGAGATTACAACAAATGCATAGCTCAAAACATACCATGAAAAAGCATAATCATCTTAAATAATAATGCAAAAAGCAAAGGAATTTCATAAAATTTTTATAATATATAAAAAGCGAAAACAAACAATGTGAAAATAATGTACGTAAACACATGTATATGAATTCCATAAGCATCAAAATAAAATAGAAGGGTATTCCACATAGCTGGAAATTGGTTTTCGCTTTTATATTCAGCCGTTTTGCTAAACAGCTGAATGCAATAACGAAAGCTAAATCTTTCGCGCGCGTGTACGTGATTATCGCCCAGTTTAGGCCGAATCCACGGTCAGCTTTTGCCGTATGGCGAAAGTGTTTTCACTAAATTATGTTTATTATGTCGTAAATTTCGTCGTTTATAGATAAATATATATTTTTATCGCAAGATATTGCAAAAACAACTAATATACGATATTTCGCAGCATCTATTCGGGTGTGTTGATGCGTAAATCATATAAAATTTGTTATCTTATATATTTATGTATATATTTATTATTTGATTTTGTTTTTATATTTGGATTTGGATTCCTCAGTCGATTTCGAGCGAAAACAGCTAATACACGCTATTCCGCAGTACCTCTTAATTGTGATGATGTGTAAATCATATAAAATTTGTTATCTGATTTGTTTACATATATATATTTATTTTTTTATTTTGTTTCTGATACAGGGATTTGGATTCTTCAGTTGATTTATTTCATTTATCTCCTTTAGTTCAATGAGTTCAATAAGAATAAGTTTAACATGAGGATTCGCCATAGATACCTAAGATGAAATAAAGAACTATTGTCTTTGGGGCGAAGTTATAGATCGATTAAGCCTGATTTAAAGTTAAACTGACAAAAGTAAGAGAATCAATTTTCGGAAAAAGTTCACTTTTCTAAACATGGGGTTAAGGTCAGAATTATGATTGCAATAAAGCAAAAATGCTTAGATCAATACCATTGTATAAGTTTATAGAAAAACGTTTTTGCTACCAATAGTAAACATATTAACTCCAGAAATTTTAAATAAAATATTTAGATATAAGTTTCTTTTAGCAAAATTTTTGAAGAAATATTAAATCAATAAAATAAACCGGATTATTTCTGAGCGAATTTTGAAAACACATTCTCGCGAGTAAATATAAAGTAAGGTGGCAGTAATTTAATCCATCTTGGCTGACAATTGTTGGTCCAACTGTCGTTGCCGGATTTTATCAAAAATGGGAAGTGTAATTACGTGTGGATAAAATTTCGCTTTCGCTTTTGTAATCAGCTGTTTGCCAAAAGCCGTTAAATAGAAAGTCGAAAGCTAACCTTAAACTACGTAAATTGATAGATTTAAGATATGGGTGTAAATTAAGGACAACAGCTGTATCATTTTTTAATTTTTACGTCCATCGTCGCAGGATGGAAATATTATGGCTTTGTTGTTCCGCTTGCAATAGCGGGAGATCCCACAAATTACATATATCATCTGTGTTCGTAAAATTCGATGTTGACGTTTTCATCGTCAAACAAATTTAGGAAAAATTTGAATCAAGTCGAGTACTATTCTATATAATGCATCCAAAAACAAAATCTGCTTATTTTATAGTTAATAATTTATAACATCTATTGGCTTTTGCTATAAAATTTGCTAAAAGCATGTAACAATCTGTTTTAAAAGCCCAATGCAAACATGGATTTAACTTAAAAGCTCACCAACGCGATTACCTTACCTTACAAACAATTTTATAATTAATGTAAATTTGCTTCAGATTATAGAGAGTGAAAATTCATCGCAAGCCGGATGTAAAATGTCTCGTCGCTTTATGGAATTGATTCAAAATTGTATATGACACGCATCACCTAGCGTTCTTTGAGAGACGGTCGGCGATAAATCGATTTAAAATTTAGCATAAACGGATTATATAAACACACGGTTCGGGTGTTCTTTCCCATATATTTCTGCGTGCAAGTAACGTCTGTTACGATCACGAGAATTCAGATAAAGAGACTTATATGTGGCGCACTTGTCTAACGTGGATATGCCCATCACAAAGCCCACTTTAACTAAAAAACTATTGAAATCTATCGCTGAGATATATTGAACTTGCGTATGAAAATATGTGTTAATTAATCAGCTAACACGCCAGTATTAGATGGTTTTGGGTATTGACTTGATATGATGGGTGTCGAAAATTCGCTCTTTGCCGTTTATAACCGTTTCACTTGTTTATAATAATTTAATATATATATAATTGTTGCAGAAACGTCTTAATATTTATTTATCCGGTAAAATTCTCACTTATCATCACTTGCAATTTCGCCAAAGCTCCTTTATCAAGGCAGTCACAAATACAAAGAGTTTAAAACGAAATTTCAATGAACTCTACATTATTGTTATTATTATGCTGGGGAAAAAATTTTTCCCGACTTAAGAGGTCTATTGTACTATTGCACTCGTTGCCCAAGTTGCTAAATTTGCAAGCTGAAGGGTTCCGATCAATTCCGGCACCCGCTTCTGCAGATGGACGTGCATTCACACGAAATATGATAGTAAATTTGGGTCATCGCTTCGTAGCCTTTGCACAAATCAATATGTGAGACATTCATGTTTTTCATGTGATACCTGAAATTGCTGAAACCCGTGTAGAAATCAAATGGACCAAACGGACGGTGGTTCATCCTCCCGGTATCTCCGTTTAATAAATCCATAGTTCCAAGTGTTAGGTGACTTTTTCTGTGTACGCTTTAATGCCAGTCCTTTTATTTTACGCCTGCCTTGGCGCACCACGAAAAGATTTTGGACTTATCCTCGTCTTTCGGGCTTCCGTATTCGTTAAGCAGTCACTCCTAACTATAGGCGGTAAGGTACTTACATAAGTTATTTTTATTGATTAGGAGGCAAGTTCGATTTGATCTACTCGGATCGGTCGGTGTTGTCGTCTTCATATATAGTTCGAAAACGTAAGAAAATTATTCTTTCTTCATTTGATTATAAGATAGCAGGAGAGAGCTATTCATCCAATTGATTGAGCGGACTTGGATGCGGACTTGTTACTGTAATTGCAGAAAAATCACGATAAGTGTTCAACTGTCCCTTCCATCTTTCGTCATTAAGAATTCTTGCGATACATTTTTAAGGAAACTAAAGCTAGATATATATGTTTATATATATATATATATAGGTATAGGGAATGCAGGGAAGGTTAAAAAAGTAGCCTAGACTTGATCTAATATGTTACGATTATGGTTGTGTTTTTCTGTTCTATTTGTAGTTGTACATGTTTTGTGTTGAGTCTTCAAAATTCGTTTCAAGCCTTCTGTCAATTAATAAAAAATTTTTTTTTTTTTTTTTTTTTACTTTCTTTTCATGCAACGCCTTATTGAATACTGCTGATATCAAGTATCGTGCTTTGATTTCGTCTATAAAAGATTCTACAAAATTTAAATAAAACATCAGTTGGCATTATCGTCTCAGTTATTAATCAGCGCCCTTTTCAAATAAAGAAAGTTTTAAAAACAAATTTAACAAGAAAAAGGTATAAAATTTATTTTAAAAGAATTTTTGCAAAAAACAAAAAAAAAAAAAAAATATTAAAATATTAAAAATATTCATCTAAAATAGTTGCCGGATAAAAATTGAAGTGCAGAAGTTGTTTCTATTACATTAGTGAAAACACGGCATGAAAATAAGCTTACATTACCAGCTGCCCTAAGGGCCTCGGGATATAATAGATTTATTTTGTTTGGGTAAAGATGCGCTATATGATGAATATTTGATCGGTGTGAGAGTTTTATCATGGCGTTTTATCATGTCTGCCGAAAGTTGATACGATCTCGACTGAGTTGCGTCCATCCATTCGTCCGTCCACTCTTGAAAATCGTATGATCACAGAAGTTAGAAGAAAAACTTAAAATCTGCATTGGCATACGAAGGTGTATTTTTTTTTTTTGTTTTTTTCCGATAGTCCGCCTACAATAGGTAACAAAATAGTAGAGAAATTCAACGAACAGGAAACATCATCAATATTATATTCGAGAAGCAGTGTATGTCCTTGCAAGTTAGAGTTTTTAGAAAAAATGCCTTGGAACTATCGAGATGTTGTATCTACAAGATTCGGGGATTCAAGGGTATTGCAAATTCTCTAAATGTACACTACAGATTAAAGTTTCCGATACTGATCTAATTTGTGGGGGGAACTGTTTTATTGGAAAGCGAAGTAAAATGTTCCTGAAGTATATTCTATCGCTTACATAATAATATATGTGGGAAATTATTTTGATAAAGTGCTTCCCAATTTATTTTGCACTTCTGGAGAAGATTATATAAAAAAAAATAAAAATAAAAATAAAAATAAGTTTTGATATTTATTTCTCATTTCTCTCTCTTTGATGTTATTATGCTTAATGACCCTTTCATTTATTGCTTTAGATTGTTCAAAGCGTTATGATCAATTCATTGGTTATAAATTAACATTACATTTGTAATTGTTGGTTTAGTTTACGTTCGTTTGTCCGAACAACTCGTTTAAATAAAGACTTAACTGTTACTCTGTCTGATGCATCGCAGTCTGATGTATAGGCAAAGCTTTTTATGGTATTCAGTGTTAATTGTCAGTTGCATTGACTTATCAGTTAAAGCCAATGGCCAAGTTGCGATCTCAATGGCAGTTACAGTCCGAAATGCCAATAACGAAACGGTACATTTAAAGAACTCATTATTATTATTATTATTATTTGTAGCACAAACATGCTCTCATAATCGTGCGTCTGTGTTGTTAAGTATTGAAATCATTTGTTGGAATTTATGAAAAGAAAAAAAACAGAAAAAAAAAACAGGATTTATTTTGTAATATGTTTTTATTTTTAAATATGTTTTTGTTTTTCATTTTTAAAGATGACCTATCAAGTGGAGCCATTAGCAAATTCTTACGCCGAACTGGGTGAGGGTCCGCATTGGGATGTAGAGACTCAAAATCTCTACTATGTCGATATAACTGGGGGTAAATTATTGCGTTACAGTTATAAGGATGACAAGGTGTACGAAGCGAAAATTGAAGGTGAGGATTTAGCCAGCTTCGTTGTACCCGTTGCCGGTACTCTCGATACATTCGCTGTTGGTGCCGGTCGTCGTGTTATCATTGTTAAATGGGATGGCATTTCGACCACTGCCCAAGTTGAGAGTACCCTTTTTGAAGTGCAGAAAAATGATAAGCGTTTCGAAGGTAACCGGTTCAATGATGGCAAATGTGATCCTAAAGGTCGTTTATTTGCCGGCACGATGCGTTATGTGGGCGATGAATTTGAGCATCGTTGGGGTGAACTGTACAAATATGAAGAAGGTGGTAATGTTGAATTGGTCAAAACCGATGTTGGAATTTCGAATGGTCTAGCCTGGAATGAGAAAACCAATAAATTCTATTACATTGATACCACTGACTTTGAAGTCAAGGAATACGATTATGATATGGAAAAGGGAAAACCAGGTATACAATATCTTTTCTTATTTCAATGTAATATAATTTGTAAGAAATTCTCGGTATTCTTTTCAGCCAATCCCAAGGTGGTCTTTAATTTGCGTCGAGATTCTCCAAAAAATCATTTACTACCTGATGGTATGACTATAGATACTGACGGTAATATTTATATAGCCACTTTTAATGGTCATACTATTTATAAAGTGAATCCAGTGTAAGTATAATATCAAGCATTTTTATTGATATATTGACGGTATCTATGTTATATTTTTTGTTTTACTTCATTCTTCAGAACGGGAAAAATCTTAATGGAAATCAAGTTGCCGTGCAAGCAAATTACTTCTGCAGCTTTTGGTGGCCCTAATATGGATATACTTTATGTAACCACTTCGGCTCGTGGTAATGAACCCAAGCCTGCTGGTACCACTTACAAAGTCACCGGCCTAAAAGCTAAAGGCTTACCGATGACTAAAATTCAAATCTAAGCTTATCGCTTGAAAGCTATTGGTTTTATACTTTTATATAAATAGCTTATACATACACATATATAGCCAGTGCAATAAAGAGAAAAAGCAAACTTCTTCAAATTTAATCGTCAATTTTTGTAGAGCTCTTCCTCTTTTGTCGTCAGCATTTTCTTTGATATAGAAAAAAAATGAAGATAATAATTAGTCAAATATGCTCATTATATTCGTTTAGAAGCTCCCCTGATAACAGACATCGCATATAGTCAGAGTCTTCACCCATATATATATATATATATATATGGATCGGCGAATTCAATTTGCCCCTTAGCTTCTTTTCTCTAGTTAATGCGTTGTTACGAAAAACCCGCATGAAAACTAACCGATTTTCTAAGAAATCCAATGCTAAAATTTTGTAAAGCCTGGAGAGGGGGAAATAAAATGAAAATGATACATTGGAAATTTACTTGTAAAAGGGTAAATAGGCAAATTGTTTGCAAAAGGCAAAGTCACCCGAGACAACAGTGAGGGAATCATAATATTCGAATAGACAAGACCGGAAGAGGGATAACGTGTATAGGTTTGCGCAGCGGTCCAATCATTCAATCCGTCTTGGCATTTCTTCACAAAGTCTTGAAACTACGTGCCAGCCAAGCCATGCTGCATCGATCTGAACGAAGTTTTGGTAATCAGAAGGCGCTATGCCTATTGCGTACCCTGCTTACGGCAATGTATCTTGATACATGAAAACGCCTATTACGTATAAGATCCGGCAAATAACTTGTGAGTAAATTAACCTAGAAATCGCAATTCAATGATACGAACTTATTCGTAAAAGGAGTCGGATAGAAACGTAACACAATTACAAAAAGTCTTTTCTATTAAAATATTTTCTGGTTCAATGTCATCCCGAGAAGTAACTTTTATTCAGTTTAGACAGAACTTTTAAATGTTAAATACTACAACCATTTAAAAGTCTTCATGCGTTCATATAATTTATTCCATTCATAGTTTTGAAAACAACATCGCAGCAACGTTCGCTATTAAACTCCTTACATATGTTACAGTGCAAGTATCAGAGGACACAATTGAGACACACTGCATATGCAAAACCTGTAAAGTTTATTAAACTAGGACAGATTTATAGTTTTTCGATCATAAGTGAGGTTATGTCATAAGTTATATAACTTTCAAATTTAGCTATTAAAAGATGGATAATTTTCAAGTCGAATATATCGTTTTAGACCAAGTTTTGAAATCGTAATATGTTTGTTAACAAGCAGGTATGCAGATAGTGTAAGTAGTTTTTGTTATTGACGCTTTTTATTAAGGGACACCTATCATCGAACTTTGTTTTTATACCGTACACCACCCCTGTGATGCAGAATTTGTTAAGTTTGTTCAGATGTATACAACACTCAAAAAGACTTTAGTTAGACGCACGTTTTGTTGAATCGTACTTGTCTATTCGTTTATCCGTCTGTCTGTCTATACTTGTGTTTAGCCTGTGGGTTGTAATTTTTGACACATTTGTGATGAAATTTCGTATATTGATATATTTTGGCCTGAGGGCGAGCCCTCTTGAAAATGTTTTCGGTTGTATTACTTTTTCGATCACTTCCCATAAAATGCTTGATTTTGATAAGTTATTTTATGAAGAAATAGTATAGTTTTCAGAGTTTAGCTGAGTAATATTATTTCGGCATTTTCAATTAGTGAGAATAATTTGGATCGGAATCATTTTGGGGCAAGTTTTTGAACCTCCTTGCCGTAAAATCGTCCCGACGGAAACTAAATCTAATAAAAAGGCTTTATTTTCAATTTTTCTTGGTGAAAATTTGGTTCTTAAAAACAATTTGATACAAAAATCTACCTCACCGAATGTCGACAACGTAGATCTATTCTTTGGACTGCAATGCATACAATAATTCACATGAAAAATGAACTCTTTTAATATTTTTTTGATGAAAATTGGTCCATAGGACAATACATACGGGGACTCTATTAACCTAAGCAAAGCCTAATTTCTACTTTCGTATGACAGAGGTAATTGGAAAAAGCCAAAAGTTTGGTTAAATAAATTACTTTTGTGAAATTTGGATTACGTCAATTAACGTTTTAAGAATCCTCTAATAAAAGGGTTTTCATTGAAGATATGCCTTCATATCAAAATAATGTATAATTGTAGATGTATTATTACGAAAATGAATGAATGAAACGCTATAGCACACACAGAAAGAATTCCTTCGTATTAACAATTGGATGGGTAACTAGGAAGAAGTCCTCCTAAGCGGTCTTCTAAAAATTGAGTACAGCCTGCGTAGCTCAATATAAGCAACTTATCTCTTAACTTAAGAAGAGACTATTGTACCTTTAGAAATCAGAACAATTCAAGCATATTAATAGCAACGTATATATGTATATATGATATATAATTGATGATATGTATTACGATGATATGTCACATGTAGAGTACCTGCATGCATTGTATGTTAATTTGGCCAGAAAACGTTGTTTGGTTGATGAGATTCATGATAACCTCGTTGCCAGGAGAAAGATTTCATTTCTGTGAAGTAAGACAAGCAAGAACGCTTACTGTACCTACAGTATCAATGAAAATGCCTCAGATTAATCGATGAGATATGCCAATTTATTTATGCTCATAAAAAGATAAAAAAAAATTGGCTTTCAGCAAACAAATTTTCAGATATATTTGAAATGTAGCCTCAAATTACTTTCTAGATTTATTCACATAGGGAACAAGCTATTTTTAGTTATACTGCCCAACTGTGATCTTCGACTTTGCTCTTTCCAGAAAAAATGATATTAAACTATTGACATGCGTCGGCATACATACAAACGCTTGAAAGAATATTTCGAACGGGTTTCTTTTAATTGACGAGACTGCTTGCTTCTTGTCTCTCTTATTCTGCTCGTACTTGCTTTTTCTCCTTTCTCACAAGGGTAGACGAACTTTCAATAACGGCTGCTTAAAAGCAAAAATACTTATTTGTGGACACTTGCAATTTATTTTCATTATATTTATCTAATTTACTGAACTCTCACATCCATTTCCGATTTGCCACTCGAAACCGTATACATACAATTAATTATCATAAGATACTCAATCGATTTAATTATATTGGCGCTTGCGGTCACAGAAATTAAAATAAAGCAAGCAAAAGCATTATAGTGAGCCACAGTCCACCATTAAATAAGCTACAGCACTACATATGATGGCTTCTCAAATGAGGATGTTATACGGAAAGTGGTCGAAAAAGTGTTCCGGTCCGGGTTCCAATTGGAGTTGTCCTTGATGTACCAAATTTGACCTGTAGGCTGAGCATAAATACACATGGAAAGTCGTCAGCGAGGCGAACAAGCCTCGATAGAATAAGCATCAGCTTCGTTCTAGTCTTTCTGGATGCTGTATACATCTGCGCAAATTTCGTACCCCATAAGTGGTATAGGAAAGAAAAACATATAGCTCTAGATATAAAAGTTTAGTCAGGAAAGTGCGTATCATTGTTATACACATAACAAGTAATGATCTCGAATTTGCTAAAAATATTCTTTAGATCTTAAAAATCAGTCAAATAACTGTCGCATCCGAAATTTAAAAAAATATTCTGCATTTTCCAGTGTATTTCGTGAAGGTAATCGACATCTTCTCCTATTTATAATATATTGTAGGTCTGGGTGAGGCAAAATCTTTAGCTCATATGCAATCTTGATGTAAAGGCTCTGTTATGACTAAAAATAAGTCCAAGTTCAAGTTCCACATATACGCATTCGTCCCGAATACGTATATAGTTGATGAAAATTTCGAGTAATATTTTTTAGACAGCTTGTATCGCCTACACACACAAGATATATAAAATAATGATGAACTCTTCTGCTTATTATGTTTGCTCTATAATATATTTTATTGCATTTTTAACACGTATCATATGTTAAAGTTGTACATATTTGTTAAACTTGTTGCTCGATGAAACGAATTATCGGAAAATAATCTCTCTTTCATATACATACTTATTTAAGCGATCTAATACACAATAAATAAATCATGGTTATATATATATATATATATATATATGTATGTATGTAAATTTTTAAAGCAGTTGACTGAGTTCTTCGACATCAAATTTTCCCAAGGATTTAGAAAAGAATCATTTGAACGAATTCTTTAATCTGTTGAGGTACCTCTCGCCTATTCGTTAACATAAGAAAGACAATGACAATTAGGTTAATCAATATCATTTGTAAGCTAATCGGGAACTTACTTAATTTCTTGTTTACTTTTTAATGTCTTCACTATAATCAAGCATATTAAAGCGCCCTGTGCTAAAGCCATAGAAATTTTCTTGAGCATAATGTCAGGCTTTACAATAAACCCTTTGCTAATGTTTCTCTCGTTTGTAAAGCGCATCTCCTCTCTCGCAATTTCATATGCATCACGGAAAAGCCCCCTTTGTCCTCTATCGATGCGTTGATTAGGGCTGGGTTGTCGCATATCGTCTGCTCTGAAATAATTCAAATTTTCACGTATTTCCCGTCGGGAGTAAGTGTAACGATTTATTGAATATTGAGAACGGTTTTCATTAAGTGTACGATCGTTGTCACGATCAAATTGCCGAGTTCCGTCTACTCGTTCTTCCGATTTATACTCGTTTATTAAAATTCTCTGTAAATTCCTGTTATCGCGATTAATTTCATACGCTTTTGGAGAATCATCACGTCGAGCTCTCTCTGTCCTCTCCGCTACGTTATTACGGTTTACAACAGTTCTTTGCAAGTTAGAGTTTTCGCGATTATTTTCTCGTGACATAAGTGTATCTCTTTCTTTGAAATTAATTTCCACATTGCGTTGTCTATGATCTTGTAAATGTTTTTCATATATGTCATTATGCTCCCTGCTCACATGTTCCCTATTACGAGAAATATCCCTGATTTGCAATCGTGAATAATGATTTAGTCGGTCATAATGGTTAAAATTATTTTCAAATTGTTCTCTGTTGTTACGTTCAGCATTAAAGTGCATGTCAGTGCGATAGTGGGCATTCGTAGAAACTACCCGATTGTCTCTTTCTTCATTGGTTGATTGCTTAGAAATTCGCCGATTGTCATAACGTTGTCTAAATTCAAAGTATTTCTCACGATTCGCATTCTCAAACCGAATTTCTCTACGTTGGTCTCGGTTCTGCCTAATTTCGCGCCCAATTTCTTGTCCAATATCTCTATTTTGTTTATCAGGATTTATCGCTAATCTCAAATCGTTTCGAGTTTCGAGTCTTGATTTTTCAACTTTTGTTTCGTCGTAATTTCTACGAGCCTCTAATCTCGTAACGGTCCTAGATTCTTCAATCTGCCTTTGTTGCACTCTTGCGGGCTCTTCTCGATTTATAAATTGTTCAGTTTGCTTCATCATAATTTCACGTTCAATTCGCCTTGCTAAATGATGGTCCAAAGTTCGTTCCGAATTGTCACCGTTGTCGATTTTCCGTACTATTTCACTTTCAGCAACGCGTCGTTCTTCTTGCTCACGCCGTTGCGTTGCTTCTGATCGTTCGTCGAAGCGATTGTACCTTGCTTGGCGTAGAATCTCCCTATTATCGTTTAGATTTTCAAATCGACTAAAACGTAATCTATTTTCATTTGTTTCGCGTTCACGGTAATGCTGTTCTTGTCGTCTGTCATCGTTAAACACAATTCTCTCTCTCTGTCGATTGGTACGGTCGTCTCGGTTTGCGATACGATCAATCCTTTGAAATTCAATTCGCATTCTCTCACTAAGCGAACGCCGTTCTTCTCCAAGACGATTATTGGATGACGGAAAGTCTTGACGTTGAATAACAACAGGATTTCGTTCAAATTCTTGGCGGTAATTTTCCCTTTCATTTTCAGCATATCCACGATGGTTCGAATGCCTTTCAAGGTTTTCTCGCGACCGTCTCACTTCCCGTTCTGTACGTCGATTGTTTGTGAGCGTATTTAAATGGGTTTCTTCATTGCGTTCGTGTGGGATTTGTAGCCGTCCATCATTATATATATGCCTGCCAGAGAAGTCCTTATACAGTAAAGCTTCCGAAGATGATTGCCTTAATGTAATAGTGGTCGCATGTTGCTCATAGTCGCAGTGATCTCGTTCACAGTTGAGGTTGAGCTCTTCACCGGAAACCAGCAATAGGAATATGACAGCTGTTGCCAACTGCCGCCACAAGCTGGACATCATTTTTATATATATATATATGTATATTTCTATATATATATATATATATACTTTGAGTTTTTAATATATATAATATATAATAACTTTGAAATTTATTATTACTTTGTAAGGCTTCTGTGGTGTCTTTGCTCTATAAGGTGAAGCGTTTGACTGCTATCCTCGAAGTGTTCGGCTGCATATTTATACTAAAAAAAATCGTTTGGAAAATAGAAATTTGTGATGACTTTGAAAAATAATTTTTATTTTTATTCATATATAAACAAAAATAATTTAATTTTCTTATCGCAAATGTGCACCATTTCGTTTAACAAAAAAAAAAAAGAGGATAAAAAGAAAAAAAGGAAGAAAGGAAGACAAATAGTAACCACATTTGTTCGCGATTATCGCTATAGATCTTATTATGGCAATATATGCTTGTGACGTCAAATTGTTGCGCGAGTTTTATATCTTAGAACGCAAACAGAACAAGTTTATTATATAGCTATGCTATGAATATTGTTTTGCAACGTTTAATAACTCGGTTATATCTCGCTTCCAAAGCATATTTCCTTTCTAGGCTGCAGTAAGCTGTAAGAACAAACCGTTTCTCAGTTACGTGGGCAATCGTTCCGTTTATTCCGCTTGGCTGCTTCAACATCAGCAACAATATGTTATAACTTATGGGGAAAGGCATCCTTAACAAAATAGATGAATAAAATGGATAGATAGGATAGATAGGATAAGAGGTTTAATACAATAAATAAATAAAATATATTTCAATAAAAACAAAAACAAATTTCAAACAAATTTCGATTAAATACTTATGGCCTTGATAAACGCCCACTATACGGCTGTTCAAAACAGATAAGTTAGAATATTGAAAATGGTAGCAGCCTGTGCACCCGTACAAGAACTTCAAACGTAATGAACTCAAAACGAAATTCGACGCTTCTCTTCTTCCCTTAATTCTTTATATGCAAATACGTGAAATATTTAAGGCAAATACGAAGGATATTTTTTGATATCCGTCATCGTTAAACAACAATCAATAAAAGTTGTAGGAAATTTTTTCAATTTTGAGTCGATCGAACCGCCATTTGTCCTAAGCATTAGTCCATTGGTCTCATTACATCGTAGGTAATCGCAAATTTCTTGTTTGTTATGCACCTATGATGCGAGCAATTCACGTCTTTCTTAAAATAGAATTTATGACCATAACCTGGAACATCTTTGTCAATTTAGAGTTTAGCAATGTTCATGCCACCTTATAGGTCAATATATTTATATATTTGAAATACGAAGGTAGATTATGCGCTTCTTATGAGTACTGTTTTGAGCGGGTGACGTCCGTTTCTGACACAATACACGATATACAAAAGACGGCGTTATCCTATTATAGATTGAAATTTTGCATACTCGATAATATTAGGTGGGCATGGTTGATTTTTTTTATTTTTTCGGACCTACTTTAGGCATGTGCTGCGATCGATTTAGCCCATTTTCAATACCAATCATTATGCAATAGCTTTAAATGTTTCTGCCAAATTTGAAGCCGAGAAATTTATCTTTGCAGTCGGGAGGATATTTAAAGCAAACATTATACAGACGAACGGAGGAACAGACGGACACGTCTAAATCAATCAAAAATATATTCACTTTGTATGGTCTCTAAAGCTCTCTTCTGAGCGTTGCAAACGTTTTGAAAAAATGAATATACCCCTCATCCCCCGGTAATTCTTATAATAATAAATGAACTAAAGTCCCTTTAACCGAAACAAACACAACAAGTTATGGATGCATGCACTGGACTAAAAAAATACATATGATGTATAAATTGGAATCTCTTAAGGGCTCAATATATTTTAAACTGTCCAATTAGTAAAAATCGAAATGATTTTTGTTATTTTTGCAACACGATGAAAGTCACGTTTGTTTTAAGCCTGTTGCTAACACGAAAAGACATTTTCTTGGAAAACCATTGTGAGACAATAGCGAGGTTGAACTGAACGGATCTAACGAATATATTTAGCGAGCGAAAAACACCTAGAGTAAGCGTTTTTTTCGCGAGACGAAGTTCTACTTTTGAGGAAGAGATAGGCAAAGACTTCTTAAGTGCCTCTCTTGCGTATATTTCTGGGAGTTCTACGCTTATTGATGAAACAACTGCATCTCCATACTTTGCTGCTAAGCATAAGTACACGTTCATGTTAAAGCGAATCGCAGCTAACCATTATCTACTATAGATGACAGAAATTGATAGATGTTTCTTAGTTAGTAGTAGGTTGTAGGGAGTGATGAGGCCAATTATAGATATATATTTATCCAAAAATGTTTAGGTAAAATTTTGAATCAACATTGACCATATGTTGTTGTGTAAGTTATGCGCAAAAATATTAGCTTTTTAATGATTCAACCTAAAGTCCTAAACTTATTTAAACCTAACAATTCCAGTAAAAGTCAAATACACATATAACTATTATAAATAGTTTCAACAATGTATGTTAAAAAGTTGAAGTTACCCCATTTGTTAAGAATATAATTATGCGAAAAACTAAGCTAAATGAAGTTTACAATGAGTGCGTGGGTGAGGATGTTCGTGACCACGATATTGCATGTGAATTTAGTATATATACAAGAGCTTTGAATGAAAATTGTAGCAGTCTTCAAGTTTGGCTGCCAAGTGTCTGACACATAAACAATTTCTGAGCGCCTGACTACATATAACTCATTTCACACTAAAAATGTAGCTTTTACGGGGTAAGTTGGTTATTATTAACTTTTTTTTCTTTTTAGAGAAATTTCATCGATACTAGTACGCGGTATCTGGTACGAGGGCGCTTTACAAACATATGCATTTAGATAGCTTTGACAACAGAAAACTTCGTCTATCCCATTCATGTTTTGTTACACTTATGCGTTTGTCTGTCTTATCGGAGATGAAACGGGAGTCGGGTATTTAATATCGATGTATTCGACCTACACACATATATGCAGAAACGACAAACGACATGACAACGAAGACGATTGAATAAACGAATACACTTATCAATAAAGTAGAATCCATGACGGATAAATATCGATCTAAATTATTGCAGAAATATTTATCAAGGTTATGGTAAAGATTAGTGCAAACATGATGATGATGATGATGATGATGATGATGATGATTCCGCGCAGTGCTTGGTAGAAGTAAACTAAAAAAAAAAAATTTAATATTGATGCTTAAGGTTTTTAATTAAGAGATATAAGCAAAGATAATATAAATTTCTTAGGCATTTTTCCATTTCTTTTCAGAAAGTCCTACTGCATCTGGACTATTGTATGCCAGCGGGACACTAAATGAATATAAGTAAAAAATAAAAATTTTAAGTGCATAAAAAGCTTTAATATATATATATATATATATATATATATAAAGTTCTACTCTCAACTTGCACAATACACTTTCAAACTGTACTTCTACTACCCTACTAGATAGAAATGTGAATCTGAACTTTCCCTTTATGATGCTAAGCTGCAGTAAAGTTTATATAATCATAATAATAAAATAGCTGATGTATTTAACAAAATGTTGTCTTTATTACTTAATAATTAAATATGTTATCTCATTATTAAATTATATGTATATGCATAGTATATATATATATATATATATAAGTAAGTAATAAAAAGCTTGTTGCTGTTGTTTGGGTTTCGTAAATAAATTATTTTCATTTAAATTTTTAAAAAACTTTCATTTCGATTACATTGATTTGTATTTGTATTTGTGTAAAACGATTTATTAACTTTTGTGAAACTATATGACATAAAGAAAATAAATTCCTTTATTCAATAATAATATTGTAAATCCTATGTAAAGTTATATCGAAAGGTATCATTTTTGTACCCATCACCGAAGGACGAGGGGTATATTCATTTTGTCGCAACGTTTGTAACGCCCAGAAGAAAGCATCACAGGTACCCCATCAAGTATATACATTCTTGATTAGAATCAAATTCTAAATCGATCTAAGCATGTCCGTCTGTCCGCCTGTGTAAGATCTGTTGTAAATATTCTCCAGGCCGCAATAATTAAGCTATCGACTTCAGATTTGGCAAAAACATTGCAGGTTGGCCTTGTAAATGGGCCAAATCGGGAGATGGGCAGGCTTACAGCATCACGTAAACTGAGAACACCTATGTCTATCAAAAGGAATAAAAAATTGATCTTTTGCTCGCTGCTTATAAGCTATAGCAGATAAATTTGCAAAAATTTGGATGCGTATTCTATGGGCGATGCTGTAGCACCTCTACACAAATGCCAAAAATTGTCCACGTGTACCCAATATGATACTGTATCAAAATGTAATTTGTTTTTTCAATGCCTTTATAACGCAGAGAAACACACAAGCTTCAAAAGCCCCATCAAGTATATCAATTCTTGGCCAGTCTCAAATTTGGAATGTACCTAAACATGTCCGTCTCTTCATCTGTTCATCTGTCTGTCTGCGCAACTGCGTGGTATCTGTAGTAACGATTCTATCGATTCTAGCGAATATGAGGCTATCATCTACAAATTTGCAAGTGACTTCGGAAGTGACTTAAACTTTTCCAAGGAAACGCTTATAACGTTTATATGCCTATGCGACAAATACTTTTATTTTGTAAATAGAAAAAATTAGCCGCGTCCACTCCATATATTGGTTTATAAGCAATGATCAAAAAAAAAAAAAAAATTATTTTTTATTCGTTTTGCAAAACAAAAATGTTCTCCTTTTACATGGTACTGAAGGGGCCTATTTCAACCGATTTGGCCCATTTTTAATACCAACCTGTGCGCAAGAACTTGCAATGTGTCTGCCAAAGTCGAGTAGCTTCAGTCTTGTGTTTACGCCAGAATATACACAGACGGACAAACGGATATGTTTATTTAAATCAATTAAGTATTTGATGCTGATCAAGAATATATATACTTTGCGGGGTCTCTGAAACTTCCTTCTGGGAGTTGCAAAAGCGAAACGAACAAAAGCGGAAACACACCATGTAAAAGGATTAGCAACACTATCTGAAGATAATGTGATTGATATTCAAAGCATTAAAGTACTCGGGAAGTTTCGTGCGAGTTTTCATTATAAAATAAAATAATTTTCTTTTATATAAGGAATAAACTTTGTTAGGATATA